CACGCCTTCGTCACTTAATACTTGAATGTTCCAAGGCAAAGGGTGGTATCAAAATGACTCCTGTGAGTCTCGAAGTGACCGGTTCTCCGGTATTTATGTAACGTCGGATTATCCCACTTGGACTTCGTGATCCCGTAAAAAAGGCGTTAGATGAAATGGTAAGCAAGGGAGTTCTGACACCCGTAAATTCTTCGTCTTGGGCCACGTCAATTGTTACTCCACTAAAACGTGACGGGAAGACTCCTAGGATATGTGGGGATTATTGAGTTACTTTGAACAGACATCTGAAACAGTCTAGTTGTGCCACCTTCAAACCAGAAGAGATTCTGCACCAATCTCATGGATCCAAATTTCTCTCTAATCTAGACTTAAAAGATGCATTTCTTTAAATTCCTCTTGATGAAAAGCCCCGTGAACTCACGACTATTAACACACCTTTTGGTTTATTTCGCTACAACTTTCTACCCTTTTGGACTCGGTGTTTCTCCCGCTATTTTTCAAACTAATCTTAATTCCATCATTTCTGGCTTGCAAGGTGTATGTGCCTATCAGGACGATATTATTGTTCATGCACCTAGCAGACACTTACACGACGAACGTTTGTGTGCTTTGCTTGAAAGATTTCGTTCGCATAATGTTTCTAATAACCCTGATAAATGTGCCTTTGCTACGACTAAACTTTCCCGTTTAGTTTATTTGGTTGATGAATCCGGATTTCTTCCTGACCCTGATAGATTTTCTTCGTTGACTAATGCTCCATCTCCCAAGTCATTTCATGAACTTCGTCCTTTAATTGGCTCTTTACAATACTATTCCAAGTTTATCCCTAACTCTTCAACCCCAGGCTGCCCCATTATTCGATTTACAGTCACAGCAAACATTTCAGTGGACTTCGGTCCATGAACGTGCCTTGAGGAAGTTACTTTCCTTGTTATCTACCAGTGCTGTTTTACGTCCTTTCTCCTCATGATTACATTCTACCGTCATCACGGACCCATCGCCCGTTGGAATTGGAGCTGTTTGGAGCAGAATGGTCATCCGGTGCTGTGCATCTCACGCAGACTCGCGGCTGTCGAACGTGGCTATTCCCAAACTCAACGAGAAGCTCTAGCCATCCACTGGGCTGTCACGCGTATGCACAGTTATCTTTATGGTACTCATTTCACTAATGTGAGTGATCATGGAGCCCTGCAGTTTATTTACAACCCTCAATGTTCCATGGCTAAGTCATCTGCAGCCATGGAATAACCATGGAGTACTGCGTTGTCTGCCTATTCCTGAGACATCCATCATCGCAGCGCGCAGTCCATTCCACATGCAGACTATCTATCACGCTACGCCATTTCAGAGGAGGCTTCTACGGCTGATTATCTACTCACTCAACCGCCCCCGATAAGCCGATCTGATCTATTTCGCGAGACCAGGAAATATTACCACGCTATCATTTCCTGCATCCGTCGAGGTGAGCGAAGTGAAATCAAGCGTCGAGTTCCGGAATTCTATAAACGTCGTGAAGAAATTTCTGTGACGTGTGATGGTGTTTTGTGCTACAATGATCGCATTATCGTACCTCTTGCATTACGTACTGCTGTTCTGAATGACATACATTCCGATCATCTTGGAATTGAAAAGATGAAGTCCCTTGCTCGTATCACGTGTTGGTGGTCTGAATTGAATCATGACCTGAATTGTACTGCGAAATCCTGTGCTGATTGTGTGCACAAAGCTCATAGACAACCTTCGAAGTGGACTCCGTGGTCAGTATCCTCCGTGTCATGGCAACGAATACATGTGGATTACTGTGGTCCATTCTTCAACAAGTATTACGCATTGGTGATCGTCGATTCCTACTCCCGTTGGCCAGAAGTATACTTTGCCACAACTCCCAGTTCAGAATTTACTATTCGAGCACTCAGGAAAACGTTCAGTAGAGAAGGGTCCCGCATGCATATCGTGACTGACAATGGAAGTCATTTTACTGCTAAGAAAGTTACCGATTGGTTGAACTCCGTGAGTTGTCGTCATGTTCTCAATCCACCCCGACATTCACAATCCAATGGCGCAGCCGTAAACGTTGTACGCACACTAAAGAGTATCATTGCTTCTGTGAATCCCAGTAAATTCGATGAACTAGACAGAGGTGCCGATAACTTTCTTATGCAATACCGTAAAGTAGTACATTCAACTACGGGACACGTTCCAGCAAAGCTGTTTAAGAGTCCAGTACTTCGAACAAACCTTCTGCGCTTGGAGTCTGCGGAAGTCATATATCATCGAGGTAACGATTTACGACCCTCCAGGGGCATTGTACTGGACAATATGGGATAAAGAGTATGTCGCATATTGGATCTAGATGATGACATTGTACATCGCAGACATGTAGACCAAGTAATTTGTAGTTTGCCCAATCTTGATACTAGTTGTGAACCTACTAATCCTTTGATTTCCGAGTATTTTCCAGATGAGTTACATTCCATTACAAATATCGAAAACAGTACAGAAGAACCCAGAAGATCTAAATGATTACTCAGCAAAGCCCGCCGTGATTACAGAAAACCGGGAGCTTCATTCAGGCTGCGGCGGATGTGTTGATTGCTCATGAACTATGAACTCTTTTGTTTTATTGAACACGATATCCTTGTGCATTCCGAATTTCCGCTTATTACAGTTCCATTCCGTCGCTGAGTTCTGTCTTCTGATTTCGTTTCGAGTCCCAGTTCTGGGTCGGATTATTAGTGCGCAGAATCCTATACGTATACGAATTACTAGTCCGAGTACGAACCACAACATATTCAATTGTACTGCCAACCGAACCCAGTGTGTACAGACCCTATGGGATCATATATGCATCAGCTTTGTGACTTACCCATCATATAAATTTGAATTTAAACTGTCTTGAATAGATTGGTAAAACAGTGGCGGAAGTAAAAAATGTATTTAAAGGATGACCGAAAGGCCTGGATTCAAAAAAGTGACAAAATCAGACTGCCTTCTGAAAAAGCGGGAATGGGGAGGCAAATTGTTTGTGAACTGAATTTGATATCCGTTACTTGTTACCATAGTTACATCCACTTCTAAAGGAGGTTAGTTTACTCGACTTAATTATGTATTATATTCCTGCTTGTTGTTTCAACAGTTTTTAGGAGCTTCTACTTTGATCATTTGTCGCTTATTGGCGGTGCTAAAGTAGTTTTGGACTCATTCTTCAGATTTGCTTATCGTATGTTGTCGATTAACTTTGTAAGAGTGTATCCACCGATTGTCTTTACGGTATGCTTACGAAAGGAGACCGGATAATTTTCTAATATACGCTTGGGAAAGCGATTGATCCTGTGTCCGACAAAACGGACACTGAAACTGCACACAGACTGGTATGCATATATGTACTAAATCAATGGGACAGAGGAGTTAACTTTGGTTGTTTAGAAATGTCGTACCTCAGGAAATGTTTTCCGACAACTTGTCTTAGTCTTCTCTCCATTGTTTAGCACGCTTTTTGTGGACATTTTATGCGCGTTGACCACTACCGGTTTCTGAATAGGAACGTGAATTCAAGACACACACAGACAGACTAATGCACAATCGTGGATCACAAAGCAAACGAACGAATAAAGTCAACAATAACTTCATGCTCTTACACTGGTCGATAATTGAAAAAAATATATATTCCGACTGGGAAACGTATGCTAGACGGCAAACAGATGTGCATTCACAAGGCCATATCTATCACGGGTTAAACGCGGGGTGAACATCAAATAGGAAATCAAATGAGCTGAGGGAATTGAGGTTATCACTATCGATTTTTACCCAGCACTAGAGATTAAACTTTCTGTATTATTCGCATTCAAGACTTGTTTCTACAGTGTTCCCGAGGTCCAAGCAGCTTTGAACGTTCGGCTTACATCCAATAAAGAAAACGATAGCATGATTACTGAACGTAGTCGCTATATAATGAACAATAAATCTTCGCAACAGTCTCCAGTGTACAACGAGGTGTTACTGTCACAACCCCTGTTCAGACCTTTTGAAATCCGAAAGTCCAGTGATGGGACAAACAAGTGAAAGGATCCGCAATAATTAAAAAAAAGATAGGCTTTGTTAGAAAACGGTGACTGGTTTGTTTATCTTCATTTGCATATTATGCCTAACTTATCTTATTGTGTAAGACATGTTGGATTCTACTAATACCATTGCATTCTGCTGTATCGTTGTGTGTAATTGTTGCGTGCAGTGAAGCTTGAATTTCAGTTAAAAACTATAAATAACGATCGCCAGCGGAACTCAGTTCATGGTGAAAAATTTGTCCATCGGGAGCATAGGAACATTTCATAGTTCGAAATCAAGATCTAGTTCAATTGTTACCCTTTCTCTGTGTTCGATTGAACGTGCAGGGGCATTAGTGAATGTTGGCAAACATTTATGCGAGATGATATTCATTGGAAGTCATAGAACGTGCAAGAATGGGAAAGATAATCCGTCAGTTTAGTGTAGAATGGATGGTAACGGTCTTCAAGAACCGTCTCCGCACAGTCGACACAAGAATTTGTATAAGAATCTGAAAATTTCAAAACTAAGTCTTTTATAAAAAATGAAGTATTATGGTTATTAATCATTAGCCCGCGACGCAAAACTTCAAAGTCTTCTTTCAGTAAACCAGGAAAAAATTGCAGAATAATAAAAAAGATGGAGAAGATAGACCGGTCGGCTTACAAACTCCAAAAGAATTGATTGAGAAGCGTGAAATTGTCTGCGCTTCCAAATTTTACGAACGTCATTATGGATGAAGGTTGATTAATGAAGACTGTTGTCGATAGTAACACCAAAGTATTTGATAGAGTTCTCATTAAACAAATAATTTTTATTCATAACAGTATACGTATATGTATACAGTATGCATAATACACAAATATAATTTCTGGAATTTGAACTTAGTCTCGATTAGGAGGATGAAAACTGTTTTTGGGAACGATTACTGGTAAAGGAACATAGGTCAGACGAACGCTGGCATTGCATAGCATTATCTGCAGATTTCAAAACACTTGTAATAGAGATAGGGATTATCATGAATGTATTAGGTAAATAAATATAGGAATCGCACGTCCACTTGAAGCAATCTAGTGTTCCTCGCTAACGATTGAGATAGAGCATATTGTGGTGAGTGAACCCTCCGAGATGACACCAATCAAGCGCCAACGCGTTCCAGTTTATGGACGTCGGGCCATGAGCCAAAGGTGTCGATCAGTTAACAGCTAAACAGTTCAAAAAAGGACGTGCAAATCGAAGAACGAGAAAGGCGATTGAAAGATATCTGTTCGAGCAATGATATTTCTATTTATGCATTATTTATTCTCATTGATTTCTCTCAATAATTGAACCCCTGCTTTTGTGGCCTTTTTCCTGCTTGTCGGTGACGGCAGACTCCAGCGCAAGATTATTGGTGCGATTCTGTGCTTCCGTTGTGACCGTGATTTGTGATCCATAACCTGTGCCCATTTTGATTACTACACCTATCCAAATCTAGTGGTTCGTGGTCTATCCCTGAATTACTTGGATAGCCAACCTAACTTTTGTTCATGGGATTCAAACGATTCCAGATTTCGTAATATTGCTAAAGTGGAATGGAGTCAAATGCCGATGAATGTTCATGCAAAGTACACCGAAAAGGTTTAACGGGATCATTCAATGCATTGGCAATAAAATAGTTAAGAACAGAGGTTGCATCACAATTGGGCCTGCCAGGCTGTAAGTTGACTGTAACAGACGGTTAGAAATATTGATAGACTGCTGTAGGGCGTTTGAGACAAGCATTTTCAGTGAACTTTAGGGCAGGTGTCAAGACTATAGACGAAAAAGTTAGATGCTTTGGGGACGCATTTACAATGGAGATGATTGCCGCAGCAGCGCCAAACTTGAATGGCCGAAGTTAATCCATCCGGACCTGCAGCAGAAGAAAAATTACTATCATTTAAACTTTTATTACATCAGAATTTAAAGACGTTTTCGATTTACAAATGTTATGTAACTAGTAGGTTGGAGGAAAGACTGAGGAATGAAGTAGGAATGAGGCAGTAACGCGAGACTCAGTGTCGACATCCAACTCCGACCATAGTGTTTTCCTTTTATAGAGAGGCCTCATGCCTTGTCACAGTTGTTCGCTGTTTCTAATGTCCAGAATAATGCATTTGACCTATTTATTGCAGCTTTGATAAGCTTAGACAAGTGCCATACAGTTGAAGCACTGTGGGAATCGTATGCCCATTCTTGTTTTCTCGGCAGTGACATCAGTAGGGAAGAAGTGATCACTCCGCTGAACATGTACACACTTTTAACGGGAGAAGCACTTGTGTGTGAGAAGTTACGAAAGCGAAAGCTAATCTGTTTAGATCGAGAAAAAGTTTTATAGACAGTACGTTTTGGGTCGGACTAAGAGTAAACAGTTGTCGCTGGTGGAAATTGATGTGCTTTAGAAAAATGGTTGGGTGGCTGCTAATTACGCTGCTAAGTTCGAAGTTACTTCTTGTGTGAAAACAATGAAGATCAGTCATACCTAGTGAATAAAGAGGACAAGTGGTACTGTTGGTTAAAGCCTTCAACGATGACTTGTGGGAGTAACATCTAATGTCGAACTAATAATAGTTGTGAATGAATCACAGAATATGACCTCAATATGTACAGGAAGGTACTAGTAAGTTGAAATTGTGGGACAGAAACAGGAAGATCTTGGAGGCTATTGCACGGTTAGGTAATCAATATGTGGCGTTCGTAACACAAGTTGTCATATGAGTCACCACTCTAGGAAATGACAACACCCCCTTCAGTATTGTTCCGCAATTTCTTCGACTCTATCGGTGAACTTGAAAACTATCCATTAAAACTATTTTCCTTTAAATCCAGATTCAGCCAGGATTCTTGCACACATACTTCACGAGTGGTCCAATTCATTTATGATCTCTGGTCATTATCAGCCCTGGAGACAGTGCCCGAATGTGAATGCTGACCAATGCAGGAACAGTCATCTTAGGGCAACTTGATAGCCTAAGCGATTGCTTTTTCTTGATCCTAGCTGGACGGTGCGAAATTGGAGTCCTGCAAGCAGATAAATGATGCTAAGATGTCCGGAAGTTTTTGGACAAAGTTTGTGATCTCCTGAGTAATAATGGTGCGTCGAAAGGATTGAATGAGTAAAAATTCCAAGTGTGACGGAGAGCGTTCAACTGTGGAGCAGTTAATTCAAGAGAGTGCAAAAAGATGAATGCTGATAATAATAATCATTATTTTATTTGAATGAAATTTCTATACTGGATTCTCAGAAAGGTATTTTGTCAGTC